TGTTGGGGGGGGGGGGGGAGGGGGTTCTATTTTTTTCATTTTTCCTGATTAACCTGTAAACCCTGTTATAGTTACCAGGCTATTCTCCCAAATGTATCCCGTATCTGCTGCCCCAAAACACTGGGTATAATTTGTAAAGACATGTAAAAATAGATATTTAGTGTGAAATAATTGCGCTTGACAGAAAGGAGCAAAATGCTTTCCAAAATGAAGTATTCAAAGTAGATGTGAGATGATCATATACTGTATATGGATTATATTTTACTTGGTGGGTTATTGTTCATGTACATAATCCCAAATGAAAACCAACCCCAATATATTAACTAACTACATTTCATATTACATTCTTTCACTGGGCTGATACATGAGCAGGTGTTTTCGAAGAAGGACTTTGCCTTGTTGATAGATAGATAATCCTCCTACTATGTAAAATTTGTGCCAAAAGGAAGTGTAGGTTTTACAATACGTGAAAGAGGAGACAGAGGAATTTAAAAATCTTATCATGAAATGCAATGACTCACCACACAAACAAGTAAAACTACTGGCTTACAAAAATAGGTACAAAGAATGCTGAATACTGAAGTTCCTCAGGTTTATTTCTATAAATTAAAACAATGAATCTGACAACTGGGCAACAGCTTCGAATTTGTACTGGATTTATTTGCACTTGCGCAGCTGCAGTGCGGCTTGCTGCGTTTTTACCGCGATTTTGACGCAATCTGATGCATTCTTGTTTTTGGTTTTTTTCAAAATGCAATGTAGACTATTATGTCACTTCCTTCTCCTTGTCAGAACACTACCAATTCTGCTTTTTTTTTCATTTTGGATGCGTCCTGTTGCGTTCTGATGAATTTCCATGCGTTTGTGATGCATTTTGATGCGTTCCGTTGCCATTCGATGCAGCTAAAATTGGTCAAACGGTATTTTTTCTGACTGCATCGGAACAGACTGCACTGGTGTGAACAGAGCACCAGAAATCCCATAGGAAAGCATTGTGATGCGTTTTTGATGCAGCTGCCAAACTGAACGGACTGCATCACAACTGCATCTGGCGTGAACTAGCCCTTAGAGTCAGCCCAATCATGATCTAAGCAGTATATTATGGGAAAAATGAGCACAGATTATGGCATTAATGTGACGTATAGCCTAGTTTGGAGTGGGCTATAGGAGTAATCTGAACATGGAGACGTTCCTTTTTTAACCAGCTGTTTCTATTATTGATATAGGTCCATGCTGTATGACTTGGTTTATGTAATAACTACAAAAAGACTAAGCACAACCCTGTTCTAAGGAAACTGGTCCCTTCAACAAAAGTTAATTGGAAAAAAAAAACACAATTTGGCAAGCCGGTTGAGAGGGCCACCCACAGCTTAAATTTCAGCCAATTCAGTAGGAATTTGTAAAAAATTATGCAGTTGATGGCCATATACTGTACATACACCTTTAGATTTCTCTATCCACATTAAACAGAGTGGGTGGAGGAATCTGCACTGACTGCTGTTATATTCAACAGCCACGGCTGTCTGAATACCTAAACCATAACTGCATCTGACAGGTAAATCATTTTCCACCCAGCTCAGTCAATTTTTTTAAAGCAGATGTCCAGGGAAAAATGTTCTTAACCCTGACAGTGGGGCTACTCCTGCAATGCAAGGGTTAAGTGCTTGTTTTTGTCTAGGTTCAAATATAACAAAGTTATACTCACCCGATCATCGGGGCCAGCTTGCTTTTAGACTGACCCCTTCCACCTGTGTCCCCCTCTGCTGCAGCGATGGTATGTCTTTCGGCATCCTCCCGTCCTATACACAGTGTATTGGATGTGATGACTAATAAGATCTTTAGACCACTGTAGCGGAGGGGGAGCGAGGCTGAAGGGACCAGTCAAGGAGCAACTTTGTTATTTTTTTAGCCTAGACAAAAATGAGCACTTAACACTTGCATTGCAGGGGTTAACAAACTTTTTCTCTGAAATTCTGCTTTAATTTGTCAAGTCGTGTGGTGCAGACAGGGCCACCTATGGCTGGAATTTTGGCGGATTTGATTGGTGTATGACTAGCTTTACTCAAATGAGCAAAACAGTTAGTGCTCTCACACATAGCAATTAGTTATATTGCCTTTACAAGCAATGATTATCAACACATAAAAGTACATACATATAAATAAATAACATCCACTTTGTCATCAGTACTCATCCACAGTCTGAAAAGCATGAGGACTGTGCGGTGTGGAGATTGAGAGGAGTGCCTTAGTGGTAGTGTAAGTTGATATACCATGTAAATAATAGGAAGTGTATACTTAGGAGGAGCCTGTATCTCCGTCACTACAGTCACACAGAAGACGTGTTGGCTGACTGCTGCTGCTTTACCCAGTTCTATTAGGACATTTTTACTGTATTCTGCTTTTACTGTGTCTGCTAGCACATGTCCCATGATAATGAAGGTGTATATTCGTATTTACTGGTAAGTAAAGAGATTTCTATGTTACTGTTTTGTGTGTTGAATAGTAGAGACTCGACTGCACTGTCTATGTAATGTTACTGCAGTGAGATCCATGTGCCTGGTTGCAACACCACAACTGTCTTCTGGTTATTAAATTACACTTTCCCTGAAATGGTTTCTTTTTGTGTAAAACTTTTTTTTACCTATTTTTCCAGCTAATGTCACATGGGCTATTTAAAAAAAAAAAATCAGCAATTAATTGCAGCTATAAATTAACAGATAAACTGTGATTTGCAGCTAATGATATATTATTATATATTTGCTTGTGTTTTTTTAAAATTAGTGCTACGGCATTGCATTGTGCTCTGCTACAAATTACTCTCCCGCATTTGTAGCTAAGCCATAGAGATGAATAAAGAATGATTCTCGTTAGGGATTTTGACAGCAAAGTGAAACGCTGGAAAATCTTGATCATTGAGCGACATATCATTTAACAAATAGACAGACCCGGAGAAAATGAGCGGAGGGGCTGCATGACTGGGGGGAGGAATATTCCCTGGAGAAGGGGATAAAATAAAGTGTGGATTAGCTGATCTTACCTGATTGGAGGTTGAGACCAGGTGTCGTGGAGGAGCCGCATGGGTTAGGACTTCAAGGGCTGATGGGTGTTCTTTTTCGGAAAGTCGGAGTAGGAAGCAGGTTGTCCCGCTCGCCCTCGCTTGATTTTGTGGTTTCTGGTTGTTACAATGTCCTTTTTATGTCAGTTACACAAATGGCAAACAGAATTCTGTTTGCCTGAAGAAGGAACCGCTGTTGTTCCAAAACGTCGCTATATGATGTGATAGCAATCGAGTCAATAAACCGTTTTTGACTTGAAATTCTATTGGAGTGTGAGTGACTTTATACATACACTTATCTTGGATTGCAGAGCCATCTGCAGTCACTTTGGCACCCACCCGACTTATTCGGTCAGGAGTGCGATGGGTACACTGGATTTTGGAAGTTACACAAATGGGGGGCCATCAGCTGGTGTGGGTGCCTCCCCCCATTGGTGTCAGTATTTGTTGGTGGGCTTGGCCCCTTTGAACTTGGGAGCAGTAACTCTCCTCAAACTGGTTGGGGTGCGACTGGGAACATGGGAGCAGTTTTTTGTCGCAGCCTTATTTGGGGTGATGGGCACCTAAAGACCACTTCTTGGATCCAACAGTCATTCAGATTATTTATGTGTATGTTATTTTGCTTATTACTTTTGGTAACCGTTAATGTTTGCTCAATAAAAGGGCTGCTGTGGCCACTTAACTCTATGTTGCGCAGTCTGTTTGTTTATTGGGGTTTTAACAGAGGGACGTCATTGACGAATCCATCAGTCAGGAAGAATTAGCAATTCCATAGAAAATCATTATGGATTTCTTAAGCAGAAATCACAAAAAAAGTAAAAGGAAACGCTGTGACAAATCACTCATGTAGCATCAACCAAACAGCAGTAACCGGTTTTACCTGTGCAATATTAACTCTGGCAGGTGATCTAATCTCTGTCCACTCCATTTAAAACAACAAAAAGTTACACTTTAACCACTTGAAGACCAGGGTGTTAAACCCCATTTTCAGTATTCAGTGCTGCTGTACTTTGACTGACATTTATTTTGTCATGCAACGCTGTACTGAAATTAATTTCATACAATTTTTTTGGGACAAATAGAGCTTCATTTTGGTGGTATTAAACCACCACTGGGGTTTTTACTTTCTACTATATAATTGAAAAAGTACCGAAAAGTTTGAAAAAAAAATGTTTTCCCTACATTATGTTATAAAACATTTATTAGTACCCAATTTTTGTGTAAAAGATAAAAGACGGGGTCACGTCGTGTAAATAGACTCCAATCATATCAAGCTTTAAAATTCTGTGTGCCTGTGAAATCACAAAAAACTACCATACCCCTAAGGTCAAGCAACATAATTATGTGATGAAAGGTCACACTAAATGCTCATCAGCTTTATCAAGAAGGTCCTGTACTCTGCATATATTAATTTATATATATTGTGTAAAGGTATCAATGACAAGGTCCCAAAAAAGAACCAAGTTGAGAGCAACAGAGGCCATGTATTCAGAAAGTTCTTCTAAGTGTATTTTTCAGAAAGGGTAGCTATTTATTGATCATAAACAGTTTAAAACACACTATCAATGCATTTCAACACTCTTTGGTGGCAACTTGCCACCAGTACACTGTTGGTCCAGCACACTTTTAATAGGTGGGAGTGTGCACTAAAGTGTACAGTACTAGTCAAAGGAGTGCATGCACTCCCACCTATGTCCTGTACATCTTTTCCTAATAAAGAGGTTGACGTCATCTTGGTTCTTTTTTGGGGCCTTGTCATCGATACCCTGGCTACTTACTATTTCAAGGAAAGTATGTAAATGTAGTATAGTTGTTTGTATTTATTTTAGGACATTATATATATTTTTTTACTACTTTGTTCCTTCAGATAAAGTACATTGGTTTGAACTATATTACTTTTTTGTTTTTTATTCGGCAGAGTCTTTGGTGCCAGTGCTGACTCCATGATATTTCTTAATGACAAGAATGTGGGATGTGCTCACTGCATGCTATTCAAGCTAAGAGAGATTACATAGTGTCCATATTGGCCAGAGGTTCAGTGGACAAATATGAATGCTTGGTTGACCACCTACTGTCACAAAATGCCCTTAACTGGGAAGAATATCAATCATGCACACTTGTGGGACAACCTTTATGCAGGCTGGTTAGAGACCTATTGGACATTATCACCTGTAAAGGGGACAGCTATTGCAGGATTTTCTTAGATGCTCTCCAAAAACATGAGACTTTGCAATGTGAGGAACAATTTTGTTTCCAGCTTCCTGAAGACCTGTCAGATTCATCTCACTATCTACAGTGTGAACGGCCAAGTATTGTGCAAATTATCCACAACTACATTGGTGCTGTTTTACAACAACTTTTGGAGCGTGGATATATCTCAGAATGTGAAATTAATGATATACAACTGCCTATCTTTTCACTTTCTCAAAAGGTAGGTTAAAAGCTATTTCCAGTTGTTCAGGAAAATCGCCTATCTGCTTTTGGTTCCCTATTATGTAATATTTGGGGCCCGTATAATTACACCTTATGTATATTTAAAAAGTGTATAAAGTCATTTTAATATTACAATATATTTATATATGTAAATAAAAGACACCAGCTTTATGTAAATAATTTTGTCAGTGTGTGTTAAAGTTATGTAGAAACAAGATTTTTAAAACATTACAGGGACTCTGTTACTAGATGAAAACAATTAAAAAGACCAGCCTGTAAAGCAGTGGTTCTCAACCTTTCTAGGGCCGGGACCCCTTGGTAACATTTGCCAAGTTGTGGTGACCCCCCAACCTTAAAATTTAGGAATGACGTGGCTCCTGCAGCGTGGCGGGGGAACTAACACTGCTGCGCTAGGAGAGGGCTGAGGAGGACTCTCACCTAGCACAGCAGAAATCACACAGCGACCCAGAGGTTGAGAACCACTGCTGTAAAGAGAACAGTTAATTCTGACTTGTGCTGCTGCGCTGCCCACACTGATGAATTTTGCTCTTTTGCAGCCTTAAAGTGACATTAAACCCTCAGATTTTTTAACATAAACCATACTGTAATGTTTGCCTTACTGTAATCCATGGAAGTGTCCCTTCTCTTGGCTGCTCTTCCTTTTAAATCCTTATCTCTTCTCATGCTTGGGGAGAACTTCCCTTTGCAGCTGAGTGCCTCTTCCTGTAGTGCTGGTTCAGGTTGTGAACCTGCACACAGACACCATGTATCCATTCCAGAGACAAGGCAGTCTGCTGCAAAACAGAAGTTCTGCCCAGCCTGAGAAGAGATACGGATTTAAAAGGAAGAGCAGCAAAGAGAAGGGAAACGACCATGGATTACAGTAAGGCACACATTACACTATTGTTTTATGTTAAAAAATCTGACGGTTTAATGTCACTTAAAGCTTACTTACAGGAGTGCTGGACGCCTGGTCCCCCATTGCACATTGTGGTTTTATCCTCTAAAACCTTTTTGTCACTACAATACATTGGCCATTTTTAAAGTTTTAAAAATCTTGTTGCCATGCATAGTTTGTTATAATGAGCTCCCATGCAAATTGCATACTGTACCTAGTCTCTCCTTCCAATTCTTCTGTGCTGCACAATAGTTGTAATATCTATCTATCTATCAATTAGGGATGCACCGATACCGGTATTTTGGTACCGAGTACGAGTACCGATAATTTTTTTTCGGTACTCGCCGATACCATATACCATTTCCTGATACCGGAAGTACTCGTGCTAGGCATCGGAGCATTTGGGCGAGTACGAGCATTTGGGCGAGTACTTGCCCAAATACTCGGAATCGTCACCGATATCAATGCTAGTATCGGTATCAGTGCATCCCTACTATCTATCTATGTATCTATACGCACACACACACACACACACACATATTTATTTTCTTTCCAAAAATACCACTAATAGCTAAAATAATAATGGCAATAAACAGAAGATTTGTATGTTTTGCTTCAATGCGCTTTTGAATTGAAAACCTGTTTGACAAGATTAGCAAAGATGCATATATTACTGAACCTTTGTGGCAGCATACCTACATTGTATAGACTCACAAGGGAGTAATTAGTATGGTCTGCATCAGTAAGAGATGCACATCATACCGATCCTCCACTGGACCACCACAGGATGATTTTCATTTAATATATTGCCGATTCAGCAATATATTAAATAGGATCTGTGCACCTTCCAGGTTTACAGATGGCCGCTGCCATTCACGGCTGCCATCTTTAAAAACGTAATGTGACGCAGAGACCGGTGGGACATTGGAGGCCCGCGTTGGCATCCCAGGTGGGAACCTGAAATGTGCAGGCCCCAGCAACTGCACCTAGGCTCGCTTGCCACCAGAGGGACCTCTACGTGTCCTCTGTGGCACGCGTGCCATAGGTTCGCCATCGCTGGTATAGAGTATGCTATACATAATAAACATAATATAAGAAACCAGTTTGTGTCTTTGCAAAAGGTGAGTAAATGCAAGCTGAGAGCATATGTCTTCTAAATTTAAACAATGAAAATCATGTTTGCCATAGTATAAACATTAGCAAACTAATATATTAAGGTTGATTTCATATTTTGTCTATACAATCTCCTGGCATACAGCTCAACCCTTGAATAAATATTGATACCACATTTGAATTACTCTAATCAGTTGGTACCATTCCAGTAAGTAAGGTGTCCATAAAATGTAGAAACAGTTGCCTTGATATAACAGAGCTAAGCTCACCTTGTGGGTGTAAGGCATCTGGTCTTTGGGATTTATTCACATTTAGTTCGTCTAATCTGTTTTGAACGTAAATTTCATCCACATTTAGTACATTGTTATAAGCAATTCTGTAATTGTTCTGCACTGTGTCACTGTGTGGAGACAACCATCTTTATAGGGTTTTTTTGCCTTCCTCTGGATCAACATTGGGCAATTGTGGGCATGGTGTTCTGTTTAGGCCTTTCTTCTTTTATTTCTCCGTATATCTATAGGTTGAACTTGATGGACTTGTGTCTTCTTTCAGCCTGACTAACTATGTAACTATGTTACTATCTTGGGCTTTGCTTCTTGACATCTGTGAGCTTCCAGCAAGGAGAACAGTGAGAAACACAGTAATGACATCATCAGATCTCTCTCCAAATCTCTTGAATCTAGCAGTCAGTAGCAGCAGTGCCTTAGATCATCTCAAACCGCAGCTATACAGAACAGGAGTGCCTAGGCACTCTCACATACCAGGAGGTGCTCTGCTAAATTTTACTGGAAATATAAGAAAAAGGGTAAGCCTTTTCTTGTCATATAATTTGGGACCTGACAGAAACTTTTTTCCTGCTTAAAAATGAAATAATTATTTACTTGAAAGCTAACTGCATCTTAGAAAAGCAAAACAACCTGTTACATAATAGGAAAGAAACATTTTTTGGTGTCCTTAAATTGGAGTGACTGTCTCCTTTGTAGTGCTTAAAAGAGAACTATGGGGTAAGTGTTTTTCCCTATAGTTCTCTTCAGGGTCACGGGAGGACATATACTAACCTCCTTCCTTGGCCCAAAACTCAGTATATAGCGGGCTCGATCGGGAAGTGAGCGAGCAACGTTATGTTTCAGCTCACTTCCCGATCAATAAAGCCGACCTGTGACAGCTTCTTTGTCACATGTTGGCTCTAACTATGAGGATGAGTGGAAATCACTCAGCTCATAGTTCTCCTTTAAATACTCTAGTGAGGCTGTCCTATGGGGGGGTCTTCTTGGATGAGAAAGAAAGGAAAGCAGGGACACC